AAAAGTGCCAATGAAAAAGTGTTATTCGTTTTTTGATATCTTTTCAAATAAAGTCAGAAAAAAATAAAATTGATATTGTCAAATTCTCGTTTTTCCCAAATATCTCAGCAGGCCATGAAAATTCTTCAAGTTTCTAAACGGCATGTAAATAAGCTTTAAAGAACACAACTTTTTCCTAATTTAACCTAAGCTGTATCTCCAACAGGTACTGAGATTCCCATGCTTAGGATCCTTATTTTGGACACACTGTATATTATAATTTTTATCATTTTGTTACAAATAAATGAATTTGCATTTGAATTCAAATAAATCATTATTGGACCGTTCAAAGCCTGACATTGCGAAGAAACGACCGCATATGGCAAAGACATCAAGACAACACACCGCGTCACAAGTCAATCGAAACAATGTCAAAACTACATGAATTGAGCTTCGAATCACTACCACATCCACAGTATTCGCCAGATTTAGCTCCCAGTGACTACTGGCTGTTCCCAGACCTCAAAAATATACTCACCGGTGAGGAATTCTGCTCGGATGAAGAGGTTATTACTGAAAGTGAATCGTTCAAACATTCCAATATTGGGATGGATGTTATTTTACAGTTTTACACTAACTCAATATTTTTTCATGTTCTTGTGCTATGTTCTAACTACCTCTTTACTTCTCTTGTTTACTAACAATGTGATCAACGTACTTGATGAATAAATCCCACATAAACTGAGTGATGGTTGCAAATTGAAGGATCATTTTTCGAAACATGCAAAAATTTATCGTGTTTCGCAGGACGAACAAAGCAAATCGCCACAACTCAAACGTCCAGTACTCTCCATAAATCCTCGACACAACACCTAATTCATAATTTTTCATAAGCTTAATGAAAGCTTTTAATTTTACAAAAGCTTCCACATCCTCCACTTTGAATAATGGCAAGTTAATTCGGGTGCGATCGTCCACTCTATCGCACGAGAAGCATGTGTTTTGATTTATAAGCTTTCAAAAATATGGGGTTAGGCCTTCATAAATACGGCCAATGACGTTCCCTAATGCTTTTTCTAATCATCGCGATATGCCCCGTTGGTGAAATGCTGGACGCGAGCAAAAAGCCCGGATTCATATTTGATATATGAAGATGTTTGTGATGCGGCAGCCGGGATTGAGAAAAATGCGTATTTCTGAGAGGTTTTTTTGACGAGCGATGTGGAAGCGAAGGGGTGAAAAATATTATCGGAAACAAAGACGATCCATTTTTGACTCTTTTTTTAGAAATCACCATTTTCGTTCCGCTTACGTCGTGACGGAGATACAAACAATTCACATGATAGATTTTGGTAGTAATTTGTTTTCTTGAATTATTCTTCCTCTCCTCCTTTCTGAAACAAATCTGTCCTCTTTGAGGATTTCAGCGTAAATAAGTAATTGCAAAACGGAACAGGTCCCAACATAACAAAAACAACAATATTTCACAGATAGTCAAAAATAGTCAGCGACAAAAAACCATCTCTTCAAGGGCAAGAAAAATATTCCAAATGACTTTAGACCAGTCGCTTCGCTATTAGTTATATCAAATATAAATATTACTGGAGTTTTTTCCCAACACCAAATCGTTATTTTCAACACCTCGACACGTCTTCCGATCACCAAGTGATCATCTTCAAAGAGGAAGATTAAAACTAGAAACTAATGCGAGCTAACCCTATTTATGCTATGTAGGTAACCCATACAGGTAAACCATCCAGGTGAACCACCCATATAGGTATACCAACCTAAATTAATTTTACAATAACAAGTTTCCAACCCAACGGTGTCGAAACTATATTGCCTCCCAAAAATCCACAAACCGGGAAAATCAATGCGCCCCATCGTGTCAACTATTGGAGCTCTTACCTACCAAATAGTGGCTCACTAAGGAATTTGAAACCTTGTCTATTGCAGAACCAAGTTTTAGTATGAAAAACTCTTTAGAGTTCATACAATATACAAAAAACGTGGTTCTGCAAGTAGGTGAGATTTCGGTTTCTTTTGATGTTAGTTCCTATTTCCTAGCGTCCCAATTCCACAGACTTCGCAATACCTCAGGGAATTACTAGAGAAAAATAATTTCAATAATAACGAAATCGAAGAATTCGTTTCTCTTACTAATTTGTCTATGAAACAAAATCGGTTCAAGGTAGAAGGTTGCTTTTATGAACAACATATCATGTCAGGTTATGTCATCATGTCGCCATGTATCGATTCATCATCATTTTCTCATGTCATGTCATTATATCATTTCGTTTATCAAAAGTTATTCAGCACGGTTCGTTTTGAATGAAATACACTGTATATTGCGACACGTGTTGTGTATTGTGACGTCTGAACATGCTATTGCATAACAAAACACGTGTTATGGTTTTGTAAACTATCGAGTGGAAATCTTACATTGAAGTGTTTGACATGTCACCATTTCATGCATTATAGTCATGCCAGGTTATGCCATCATATCGTCATGTCGCGGCGATTCACCGTATCGTCATTTCATATGTCATGTCATACTTAGTCATGCCGCCATGTAATGTGCTATCGTCATGTCGTCATGTCGTCATACCATGACATTTCATCTTGTCAACATGTCGATATGTCATATCAAGTTATGTCATCATGTTATGTCATATGTCATGCCATGTCATCATGTCATGTCGTGTGCTGATGTCATCATATCATGTCAGGTCATGTCATCATGTCGCCATGTATTGAATTATCATCATTTTCTCATGAATGAATTTTCATCAATTATCGGTCATGTCATATCAATTCATGTGATGTCGTGTCGTCTTGTCATTTAATGTGATGTTATTTGACATGTCACCATTTCATGCATTATAGTCATGCCAGGTTATGTCATCATGTCGTCATGTCGCGGCGATTCACCGTATCGTCATGTCATAGGTCATGTCATACTAAGTCATGCAGTCATGTAATGTGATGTCGGCATGCCGTCATACCATGACATTTCATCTTGTCAACATGTCGATATGTCATATCAAGTTATGTCATCATGTCATGTCATATGTCATGTCATATATCATGTCATGTCTTCATGTCATGTCATGTGGTGATGTCGTCATATCATGTCAGGTCATGTCATCATGTCGCCATGTATTGTAATATCATCATTTCGTCATGTCATGTCATTATATCATTTCGTATACCTATCAAAATTTATTCAGGACAGTTCGTTTTCAATGGAATGCACTGTATATTGGAACACGTGTTGTGTATTGTAACGTCTGAAGATGCTATTGTATAGCAAAACACGTGTCATGGTTTTGTAAACTGTCTAGTGAAAATCTGACATTGGAGTGTTTTTTCATCAAGTATCGGTCAATTTTATCATACATTTAAAGAGGTAACACTAATAAATATGTGTGAATGAAGTTATGGTTTGGGGAGGGTTTTTTGGCAACAGTTCGATTTGAATAATATGAAATTTTCACTTCAATTCTTTAATTACATATATAATTTCATGAAGAATGAAAATCAGTGCTTTTTTATACTGGATATCTACAAACATACTGATAAAGACAAACTACAGACTAAACACTAATGCTACCAAACAATAAGCGAAGGATCTTGCAATAATCGTTCTAGGAATTCTGATTCACCTTGAAAAAGAAATAATTCCGGCTCATCTAACTGTGAACATCAACTCTTCAATGAAAAAACTTGTCCTCCGCTTTTGAAACGAAAACTTACTCCCAATCTATTGTGAAACTTCTGCAACGGGACAGCAAACTTTTGGATTGTTGCCAAGGTATCCGCACTGCGATTCTATTAGAAAATTCAGTCTGTCGATTGTTAGGGGGTTATCAAAGTCCGTGGACATCGCGTATATCGAAGGGCAATCCTGCAGATTTATACAAAGGCCTTCCTTTCCGTCTGGGTTCGTACATATATCTGCAAAGAGAGAGTGATTCAAATGTCGAAATTTGATAGGTTTTGAATCTGAAATAAGCACGGGTGGTTGAGCTTGGAGATTCAGTGGCGTTACATGAAAATATGTGTGAAATCAGATTCATTTTCACGACTAGTTGAATTAAATTGAAAGTCTAGTGCCAGATTCAGTAATTACAGATTTCCAGATGATATAAATACAAACTCATAATGTCATCTTCATACTTATCAATTGTATAATCATTATTACATACCGAGTGACACTGAACGTGGCGCCATCTATTTGTTCATGGGAAATGTTATTTGATTCAAAATGAGGGAAATAGTAAATCGAAACCATCATTTCAGATAATGAAACGATCGAAAACTCATTTTGGTTAAGCTAAAAGTCAACAATTTTTAATAAATCCCGAATATTTCATTCGACCATCTGCTCCTTCCAAAACACCCCTCTTTTCACTTCCCAGGTTATTTCTGACGTTTCATCCGTTTGAATGTCATGTTTTACAGGACAGTTATACAGGACGTGGATCTGGGGACATTGGTGGATACTGACCCATCACAAACAGTGCTTGGGATGGCGGAAGAACTGGGCGTCAGCTCCCATGCGGGTTTTGATGGTATTAAACGTATTGGAAAGTTGAAGAGGCGCAAAAAGTAGATACTGCACGATTTGAACGACCGACAGAAATTGGCATGTTTCGAAGTCTGTTGTTTTTTGCTTTTGCGCAACCAAAACGATCTTATTTTGGATCGAATCGTCAAGTGTGATGAAAATTGGATCCTTCACGACAAAACGAGATGTCCAGGACAGTGCTTAGACACCGATGAGCCACCTAGGCACATGCCAAATACGAAAACCCACCAAAAAAACATGGTTACTGTATGGTGGTCAGTGACTGGTAGGATTCACTATAACTTTCTGCGACTGGACGAAACCATCATGGCAGAGTCCTATTGTGGGGAAATCGATTAAATGTACCAAAAATTGTGTCAGCGGCAGCCGGTACTGGTCAACAGACTCTGCTCCAGGACAACGCCTGTCTGCACGTTCCACAAATCACTGTCCGACAAATGGACAAATTGAGCGCCGGAGTTCTGACTTATCCACCATACTCCCCAGAACTCTCGCCAACCGACTATCATCTTTCCAAGCACTTCGATAACTTTCTCACTGGTGGAACCGTCGCTAATCATGATGTCATGTCAAGTCATGTCATCATGTCATGTCGCTTAATATCATATCATATTATATATCATATCATGACATATGTCGCCATATAATACTGTCATGCCGTCATGTTATATCATGTCATGGTGTCGTCATGTTATGTCATGTCATATCAAGTCACATTATCATGTCAAATTATGTCACTATGACATGTGATGTCGTCATGCCATGTCATGTCATAATGTAGACAGTTCATGTTATGTCATGTCATATGCTATGTCATCACGTCATGCCTATTCAGATAATTGTGTCCTCATTTCATATTGAGTCATGTCGTCGTGTCATGTCATCATGCCATATGACATCGTCATGTTGTCGTGGCATGTTATGTCATCATGTCTTCATGACATGTCAATTCGTCATGTCATTTCATGTGATGTTATTTGATATGACGCCATTTCATGAGATGTTGTCATGCCATGTCATATCATCATGTCGTTTTGCCGTGATATTTCGCTTCATCTTTATGTCATAAGTCATGTCATATTAAGTCATGCCGTCATGTCATATAATGTCGTCATGTCGTCATGCCATGGCATGCCATCATGTCGTCATGTTATTTGTCATGTCATATCAAGTTATGTTGTCATGTAATGTCATGCATATTATATAATAATGCTGTCATGCCGTCATGTCAAAACATGTCATGTTATAACAAGTCATATCGTCATGACATGTCATATGTCATGTAATTTCGTCATTTTATTATGTCATGTCATGTCATCATGTCATTTCGTGTCATGTTCAATGTACATAGGAGTAGGCACTAAATTCTCAGAAATATCATTGCATCGAAACGAAAACATTATTGTCAAAGTTTTGATTATATATTTTATCATCATTTTTCCTCATCTGTTCACTATAATTTCCGTACGCCACTGCAAGAGACATATTAAGGCAAAAATGTCAGTTGTTTTTGAGAATTCAGTTTCCTATTCTGGAATTATAGTTTAGGTGACGATAATTCCAGCGGAATATAATTCTGCAAAGTGATGATATTTAATATGTATAAAACAGGAACTGATTTTGAAATTTTATAGGCTTTCAGCATAAAAATATTTGTTCATATAATTTTACTCGATAGTACTTTCGGCAATGAACATATTTTTTTTAGTCAGTCTGATATCAAAGTAACGTTTCAGTAATATTATCATTCACTGGCTTTTTTACTGCCGTTAATATCCAACCATCAACGAAACAAATAAATTATTGTGTAAGAGTTTTTACGCACCTTTCATGATCAAAGCATTGCAAATAATGAGTAAATCACTCAAAAACAACACAGTCCAAAACATGTTTACCACAAAGTGTGCAAATTCGTCTCCACACTGCTCTTCGACTTGGTCTACTGTAATACAGGTAGGTCATCGATTACGATAGTAAATTGGCTGAAGAATACCCGTTAACCTCGTTGTGTGAAATGATTGATATGAAATGATTAACGGTTCAACCTGGCTACTAGTTATAACAAGAAAGGATGTTTTTGCTATTGAAATCTCCTGATAGTTCAGTTCAAGGTTGATTTCAAATCATTTCCAAAATGAATTAAGCAGTGTTGAAAATAGTTTAGATTACCTATGTGCGGATGATCATGTTGATAACCGCACTAATGAATCAAATGAATCAAATAATCTGATTGCTTTGAGTTCAGCTAATGGCAGGTAATGATCAATTGGATCGAATGCCTTCTGAATGTAAATATTTCCAAAATATAACTGTCCACGATTATTGACACTTTCAGACATTATTTGAGTTCTGCATGCTGAATTAGTTTAAGTTTATTTTTTGACCATGAAGCCATTTTAGTTGAATTTGATAGTATTACTCACCTTGAAAATGGATGACACTGTACAAACTAATCTAAAACAACTCACCAGGTTTTGGAACAGAAAATAATTTCATTGTTTTTCACACAGTTGGATACTTCTTTGAATAAGACAGATTTGTTTTGCAAAAATGTTTACCTAGTATCAAAGCAATTCTGGAAATATGCCTCTATCAAAAAACGCTACAAAACGCAGATGTGTTACCAATTTTCAAAAAAGAAAAGAAAAACATAATACGAAATCATAGGCCTCTCATTAACTATCTGCAATTCCAAAATTGTTCAAGAAATTGCATTTGCTCGTGAAATCCATCATCATATCAGAACAGCATGGTTTCTTCGCAAAGCGATTATTGGAATCTAATTTAATAGAATATAGTGAATATCTATACATGCCCTGCAATTGCAAAAGCCGCTTCTCGAAAGCTGGGAATACTGTTACCAACCAGAAAACTGTACACATCTCAGCAACTTCCTCGAGAAATCCTTGAAAATGCAACAAAGTTTTTTTTGCTTCGTCAGTAGGAAAAACGAAGTTTCGCGAGCATTGGTGAAACGCACTCCTTTCGATGCGTTCAAATAAATTATTTTTGTACTAATACAGGGTGTAACTGAAAAAGTGTAAAACATTTGAGGAAGTGATTCCTCATCGAAAAAAAAAAAGGATCTTACATAATATAAAGAAACTTCATTGGAGCATCCCATGTTAAGATACAGCCCCTTAAAGGGGGTGAATAACATTTTTTTTCATAAGGACTGGAAAAGTTACAACATTGAAATTGACCTGACGTTTTGTACTACCAAAAAGATACTTAGCCAGTAATTTATTTGGTTTACCCCATGGTTGTAAGGGGTGGAAAACGCAACCCCTAAAACTTATTTCCAATGTAAGTTATTGTCTTATTATTTGTTTACCATTTAAATATTTATTTCCGATAGCCTGTTTCATTCTAAACAAAAAATGTCTCTTGAGTTTTTTGCCCAAAAAGTTTGGAGAATACTTAGCCAGTGTCTACCAAATTAGGCCCGACGTCTGTGATGAACACAGAGCCACCACTTGCACTGCAAATAACATCTTGAGCAGACCGGTGCCGACGATACCGGAGCCGACATTGTTGAAGTGGATCACGGACGTCGAGGAGGTGATTGCAACCATTAGGCGCCTGGGGAAAGATAAAGCCCCAGGCGTCGATGAGATTGAGGTAGTTCTACTGCGCAGTCTGTCGCGAAAGGGTGTTGTACAACTGGTACATATAGTCAATGCTATAATCAAACATCAACACTACCCAGATTGTCTTAAGCATGCGGAGATAGTGCCCATCCATGAGTCTGGAAAACGAAAAAATCTTATCGATAGCTATCGCCCGATCTCACTACTCAGTGCGGTGGCGAAAGTCATTGATGAAATTCTCTTGAGTAGACTTTTTCGCCTGGAAGATAGGATGAAACTCATTCCCGAGGAACAATTCGGGTTCCGGAGAGGTCGAAATACGACTTCTCAAGTGATCCGGGTTGTTCACGGGGTGAAGGAAGCCTTCAATCAGGGAAAGAATACAGTTATGGTTCTGTTGGACATCCAAAAAGCTTTCAATAGAGTTTGGATAGAGGGATTTGCGGCCAAGATGTGGTCGGTAGGCATGCCCTTATTTGTGATTAGGATTCTTCAATCCTACCTGAGCAACCGAACTTTTCGCGTGAGAGTGGACCAAACCACATCTACGAATTATCCAATTAAAGCAGGTGTCCCGCAGAGGTCCTGCCTGTCACCGCATTTGTACTCTCTGTATACGCACGACTTTCCTATGTTCTCGAGAACAAATGTCGGTATATACGCAGATGACACTGCGATATACGCGCATTCGTTCTCGAGCGAGGTGGCGAAGCAACAGCTTCAGATCCACCTCGACAGGTTGGTCGTGCCATACTTCGAGCGTAAAAAAATCGATGTTAACCCTAACAAAACGGAACTCGTCAACTTCTCGAAGAATTTTACCAACGTGAAGATCTTCAGGAAGTTACGAGTCAAGGATAAATGCGTCGACGAGCAGAGAAGCGCGCGATATCTGGGAGTTATCCTGGATAGGCGCCTAAATTTTCAGGAACATCTGAGCTTGGGGATCCAACGAGCGGGTGCGGCGGTAAAACGAACGTACCCGCTCATTGCACGGAACTCTAAGCTCAGTGTGGACAACAAGCTGCTAATTTAAAAACAAATAATTTGACCAGCAATGTTGTACGCCTGTCCCATATTCTGTAGCCTCAAGAAGACTCCTTTGCGGAGACTCGAGACGATGCAAATTAAGGTGCTCCGTATTTGCACGAACAGTGACAGATACATTTCATTGAATGATCTGTTAGATCTGGCAGAAGTCGAGACGGTCACTGAACACATCAGGAGCCTGTCTTATAAATTCTTCAAGTTCTTTCTACCGAAAAGCCCGCTGACGAGGGACGTCACGGCGCTTAGGAGTTATCATAATCAACCCCGAAAACACGGGTTGATTTATGAAATGCTTGATATTTTCCATGAACGGCGCGAATGTGATTGCGCTTAGCTCATGGAAAAGTTGGCTAAGATAAATCACGTATTTTCATGATACCAGAATTAGTCTTACCTGGTTTTTTCATGAACTTTTTTAGAGGGCTAGCGGTGATGAACTTGCAACAATCATCTAGTATATTCATATATGAGGTACCGAAATCGCAAAATCATGAGAAATCTCGCGTAAGCTTTGGCAGGAAGCGGGAAGTCTCAGACTGAAAGCTGAAATGAAGCTCTGTTGAGCAGAGAGCCACCCGTTAACACCAGCGGGGGCGCCTCCCATCAGCCTGTCGTGGGTCTATGAGGCGGCGCTTTACCTTGCGGACGTCTAGGGACTCAATATTGAAGTATCATCCTGCTGATCCTCCCTTTTCCCTTACCAATCCTTTTCCCCTCCTCCTACCACTCCCGTATTTGGGAGAGATGTAAATATTGTAAATATTCTGTACAGTAGACCTTATATTTGACAAAGAGAAATGTATAATAAAGTATTTTTGATTTTTGATTTGTTTTGATATGGTCAGGTAACCCAATCAAGAGAAACCAAGCAACGCTCACTAATATAATTATAAAACGAGTGTCGAATACGAGCATCGTAGTTACCGCGTTCAGAACGGGAAAAACAACTAGAACACCAGTGCCTGCAACGGTTGCAGTGCCCGTGCTAGGGCATATCCCTTTTTATAATGTCTACAGCAGTAGTAGACGAAACGTCAGTCATAAGAACCAATGGGCGACGGCCAAAAAACCCGGAAAATAACTTTCACACAACTTGAGCTCCATTTGAATCGTAATATTCGGGAGGAGCAGTCATATCAAAGTGAAGGACCACGCACACTCCTTATGCAAAATGGCTTTCTGTCGAATAGCTTGAAATTTTAATATTTTGTTGAGCTCGATCTACTGATTGAAAGTCACCATAGCCACAAAAAATTCTATGTATAGTTTTCGAAATACAAGGTGTCAAAGCTGGAAAATGCCACTTTCAGACCAATCAATATTAACTGGTTAATATCACACATTATTATCGGTAGAATTGAAAAAACTGAATGGAGTCCATAGTCTGATCTCAGACCAAACTTCCATATATATGTTATGAACTTTAAAGAATAATATACAGGATGAATCGTTATTACTTTTGGGTACTATAAAATGAAAAATGAAACTCTAAAATGAGTTGACGCTTTCATGCATATTGTTAAAAAAATCACAATAACTCATTCAACTGTTTCTAGTTGAGGCCACAATACACCGAAAATATTATATTTATTATTTTATATAGAGCGATTCACAATTTACGTTGCGATATATATTATTGTTTCGCAATGATTCGTTTTTTATATTTCAATAAAATTTTCACTTGAATCAGGTGAATATGCACAGAAACCGAAATCAGGAATGATCAACAGAGTGATTCAAATAACTTATATCTATTTATAGGATTTTGAAATATTTTTGTTTCATTTCGCCCTGTATACTAAAATTTTGACTGTCAAATTCTTTTATATTTTAGCATTCCATAATGAATGTGATTTGTGAATTTGAGTAAAAATTACAGAAAATTCGTATGTACCGTTTTCTATTTATAACCTGGCATAATCAAGAGTTGATGAAGTCGAGCAAATATTATATGTGAAGGATGTTGCCGTTGAGGATACATTTCAGCATATCTTCTAGAAGCTTCTAACCCATTCCCCTGCGACAGACCGTAAACGTAATGCATATCAGCCATTTCCTCATTTGTGTATGCAATTTTAATAACAAGTGAATTATTAAAGTAACAGATCAAGAACATAACAACAACACACAATTAGTATTAATTCAATTTCAAAAATTCACAAACTGACAGCGTCATATCAATTTAATTGTCACTATCGCTAATAGCGACCTACAAGATAGATTAGTTTCGTATTTTCAAATTTCTGACGATGTCTATCTGTAGTTGTTCTTAAAATAATGTTTTACTGCGAACTGATTTATTTTGAGCGAAAAAACCAAAGAGACATTTTTTGTTGAGAATGAAACAGGCTATCGGAGATAAATGTTCAAATGGTAAACAAATAATAAGACAAAAAGTTACATTGGAAATAAATTTTAGGGGTTACGTTTTCCACCCCTTACAACCATGGTCTAAACCAAATAAATTTCTGGCTAAGTGTCTTTTTGGTAGTACAAAACGTCAGGTTGATTTCAATATTGTAACTTTTTAGTGCTTGTGAAAAAAATTGTACAAATTTTATGTACCCCCTTTAAGGGGCTGCATCTTAACAAGGGATGCTCCAATAAAATTTCTTTATATGAAAGATCCTATCTTTTTTTCGATGAGGAATCACCTCCTTAAATGTTTTACACTTATTCAGTTACACCCTGTATATAATTAATTGTGAATAGGGAATTTAAAAACACAGGGCTAATTTTGATAGAAAGGAAAAGGCAATGAACATTATTAAAATCTGGCTACCTGTCGCTATAGGTACACACCCCAGGTCAGGTAACTCAATCAAGAGAAACCAAGCCACGCTCACTAATATAATTATAAAACCAGTGTCGAACATGAGTATCCTAGTTATCACGTCCAGAACGGGAACAACAACTTGAGTACCAGTGCCCGTGCTCGGGCACTGCAACCGTTACCATATCGCCTTTTTTAATGTCTACAGCAGTAGTAGATGAAACGTCAGGCATAAGAACCTAGAGGCCATAGCCAAAAAACCCGGAAAATAACTTTCACACAATTTGAGCTCCATTTGAATTCGTAATATTCGGAAGGAGCAGTCATATCAAAGTGAATTTGCAACCTCTTATTTGTGACTTGCATAACACACTACATAAAATCAATCGCTGGAAATTAAATCCATTTGGAAAAACGATCTCAGGAAGTTTATTTCACATAAACGTAGTTCTCCAAATGAAAGAGTTCTTAAACAGAGAAGTTCGAGGTGTACTGAGTTGAACCTCAAAAAGATGAGCAGCCGCAGTCCACCGCGTATTTCTGATATGTACCGCTCGTGGTGGATTCACTTGAACTCTTTTCGTGAAATCATCTATAGAAGAGAAACAAATCTCCAACCTTTCTTCGGTGTTTCAAACTATTGAGGATATGCTTAGGGGCGGAGCTTCATACATCAGAACAATACTCAAAAGGATGTCTGACCTGAGCTTTATAAAGCATCAAAAATTGCTGGTACGGAACAATGTTCCAAGCTTTTGAGAAGCAGCCTCAGCAATTTCAGTGACATGGTCGTGTCGAGACATATTGGTGTCCATTCCAACCCCCAACAAACTCATCGAAGCAGGAAACGGAATTGTTTGTCCTGACATTATTATATCCGCTTCGCAAACCTTCATCTTTTCAGAAAAAACCGATGCTTATGTTTTTGTGGCATTGAATTGAACCTGGGTACTTCCACCCCAAATGGAAATCACCTTCAGATCCTCATTAAGATGCGCAACTTTCTACTGCCAGTGAAGATGTGCATCTGCAGCCGATGTCCTGGAATCCAATTGGAATGACTTCAGAATTGTGTCCTGCGCCATCACTCACGTAAGTAAAAACAACTTTTTTTCCATCTTCTGCCGACAACATTCCGAATATCAACCAGAACTGTTATTTGTTCTTTCCAGACTTGTCGCTCAAACCCTCTGTATGTTCCAAAATCTGATTGGTCGACAACATCGCCCACAGAAACAACCCCACAAATGACACTTGCAAAATTTTTCGTAACGTCAACTGATGTGAACCACGTGTCATATTAAATTTTTATAGCATGCCCCCAAGGGTATACGTTTAACAAAATCCCCCCATTCAATGGCTAGCGAATCGAACACTAGTATACCCCTGAACGACATCAGCGATTCATCGGACTGGTCTTCAAGCGATGAGAAACAGAAGCCCCCCAAAAAGGTCCCGCAGGCGAAAATTTCCAAGAAATCCGATAGCGCCACCAAGATCAAGTCCCCAAAAAAGAGGAAACGGGTCGTCACTGTCTGTTTAACGCACTGCAGGTACGATGTCATCAGAAGGGTCGCTCAGAAATTCAATTACAGGGAGGTTAGTGAAGGAGAAAACTGGAATATGTACTGGACGGATCTGTCCATCACGGTGGATAGGTGCAAGGAGATGAGGAGGTTTCAGAAAATCAATCATTTTCCAGGTTAGTTATGTCAAATATTCAGCAGGATCTAGAAGCGTTTTCTGGAGTCCATGTATTCCGAACGTGATTCAAATACATTCATTCCGACGTTGTAACGTATTCATGATTCAGAATTAGCGCGAGGTTTGTTTTGGAAATGAGTTTGGCGTTACGTTACGTCAGTTGTCAGTTTCTGCTTCGTTTCAATCGTTATAGTTTAAGAAACGTCCCCTTTTCCAAACCACCAGAGAGTCATGAGGAGCAATTTTTCAGAGGAAATTCGTTGATTCACTTCTACAAAACCTCATGTATTTCTTCATATTCTATAACCCTTAGTGAACTGTTGAATGAATCTCGAGTCAGTGTAACTATCTTCATTCGGGTTTGAAGGCCGTCGTTGGAACTGCATCCTATCGTTTCGCCAGCACGAGTGGCTGGCTTCTTCAGAGGTTTAATCATCTTGATGATTCACCGATGATTCACCTTAACCAATGAATCTCGAGTCTTTCGAAACAGGGAGTGTAAGTCATAATTGATGAAGATGTATTAACTACAATAATTGCAATAGTATCTACATAAGTATTATCATTTATAATACCATATAATTTCTTGCGTTTCGTCATATTATTGGTTGAGTAGATGAAGAAAAATAGCTACTTGTTGGTCCATATTTTGAATAGAAAAAAAATCTGCTACACTGGTTTTGAAAATACAGCTTCATTCGTTATATTCATTCAAAAAATTGTATGCACAATTCCGATTCGAATTAAGGTTAGAGAAAATTGAAAAGTTCGTTTATATTATTGAATTTGACATCTGACATAAACTGAATCATACCATTCTGGCGAATCTTATTATTGATGACGTCAGCACCTTTTTGTTCATCATCAGTGAGAAGTAGAAAATATGTTTCAACATCTAAAATCGTTATCAGGATTGAGCGAGTATGAAGTGACAAGAAACCATAACAAAACATTCCTTAAAAGTGAATTGTAGCGTTCAACAAATGAAATTCAGTTTTTGTTGGTTTCCGGGTTTGACCGTGGTCTTCTTTGGTTATATTCTCCAAACGTTTCAACCGCAACTGCGGCAGTCATCTTCAGTGGCGAGATCGAAGTACTCTGTTTGACGTATCAACTGGAGTTGATGTAGGTATATGGCAGGACTTCAGTTATTGGAAACACACCCACACTGAGCGTTTTAGGGTTTTAGGGCGAGGAAAATGAAAAAATGAATTATTATTGCTCAAAATTCACATATACTTCGGTTAGAATAGACTCTTGAAATATTCGATTAGCTCTGATAATGGATCCAACTCATTGTGGCGGAATTCTCGACGATATAAATATTCCTCCTGCTATCTCAAAAGCCTTTGAAATGATCATTAAAAGAACAGATCACAGATTATGTTAAACGAAATCCATACGTTCAGTATGGATTTCGCCCTCAATATAGCACAACTAAGGCTCTGAGTCTCGTCACTGATGACATATTCAAATCACTTGATGAAGGAAATTTCACATGTCTCTTAATGTTTGATTACAGTAAAGCATTCGATACCTTGCATTCTTCTTTATTGTGCATAAAACTTAAGTGATTTGCTTTCACCCATAATGCAATATGCCACTTATGAATAGCTATCTCTCCGAAAAGACCCAACCAACTCACCTTGATGGTAACCATTCAACCATAATATCAAAAAAATTTGGTGTACTCCAAGGTTCAGTGCTGGGACTGCTCCTTTTTGCAATTTATATTAGTGCTTTTCATCAATCAACTTTAAAAATATTACATTCGCTAATGAAAATATTAACAGAAACCTCAAAACTCTATACGATGTATTCTGTGCACATAATCTTATTTTCAATCCCAAGAAATCCCAGGTCATGTTATTTGTTTATAACATAATTCCTTTTGTGAATGAATGTAAAAATCTGGGCTTGTGGTTAGATACATACTTGAGATTCACGAAGCATGTAAGTCATCTGTGTGAAACGTCATTCAATGTATTGAGACAACTATATCCAAGTAGAGACCTTTCATGACAAACTCTGAAGCTGAGTCTTTGTGAAACACTTATTTTTTCAAAATCAGCTTACTGCAATTCTATCTACGGACCCGCCTTATAACAATTAGATGTATAATGCGACTCCAGCGTATACAAAATAGTTGTGTCAGATTTTCTTACGGTATCCAAAAGTATGATCACATAAGTCCGTCCTTTCGAGATTCTGGCTAGCTTTCACTCAAATATCTAAGAGCAATCCATTTGGTTAGTTCCACGCATATAATTCTTGTTTCGGGATATCCTCCTTACTTACGTGAAAGACTGGTTGCACTATCACACAGTAGCACTTCTCGTAATAGGCAAACTTTGCCCATTCCCAGGCATTCCACAGCAATGTTAACTCGAAGTTTCTCCTACAATGCGGCAAAGTTGTATAACACCATCCCCACAGACTTCAAAGAAAGTTCAATGAGAAAGTTTAAGTAAAGGTTGAACGACATATTTCTCGCACGACAGTGATTGGGCACGACATATACAAAAATATTTTGGCAATTTCTAACATATCCGAATATTATAAAAAATAATAAGAACACGTACCAATCGAGGTTGAGTTCAAAAGCAGCTCTCATAGCTGAACTCCGACTATTCATCATTTCTTTGAATTTCATTCAATTTGTTATTCTTATTGTGATGAATAAAGACGTATTATTATTATTATCATCATTGAAGGTACTCGCACATGTGCGTGATGAAGCCACTCCTAACTACTTTTGATGGTATGGATGTAAGCAACGGTCTGTTGTTCGAATTTTGTTTTAGGTTAGGTTAGGGTTGGGTTAGGTTAGGCGAGGATTAGGTTACGGTTATGTTAGGTTAGGCAAGAATTTCATAAGGTTAAGTTGAAATATCAAATTATATATTTCAAATAACTTTTCAAATGATTATTTCCTCGCTCTAAAACCACTACCATTCTGTTCCTCTCATCACCCACTTGCGATTGAACTCCAACGATCACGTATATTGAGGCACCAGCTAGACTCCTTGATCCATTACTTTCGTTATTTACAGGAATGCTGGAAATCTGCAGAAAAGACCTACTAGCTCGAAACCTGAACAGAATGCTACGCATGTTCCCAAGAGACTACAACTTCTTCCCTAAAACTTGGTGTTTTCCCGCCGACCTAGGAGAAGCTCTAACCTACAGTAGATTACGCAAGAACAAAACCTTCATCCTCAAACCTGAGGCCGGTAGTCAAGGTAGAGGCATCGTGATCACTAAGACACTGAAGGAAATCCGACCTTGTGACAGAGGAATCTGCCAAGTTTACATCACCAAACCATTTCTAATCGATGGGTACAAGTTCGATCTGAGAGTATACACTCTGATCACATCCTGCGATCCTTTGAGAATCTTCATCTACAATGAAGGCCTAGTCAGGTTCGCCACTAGTAGATACAAAGAGCCAAACGGCATCAACATAACAAACGTTTTCATGCATCTCACCAACTACGCCGTGAACAAACACAGCAGGACCTACAACCAGGACACCGAAGGGGGTAGCAAGAGAAAGCTGTCTTGGTTCAACAATTACCTGAAGAGTTTGAAGCATGACGTAGAAGCAATTTGGTACAGGATCGATGACGTCATAATCAAAACAATAATCAGCGCTTACCCGGTACTGAAGCATAGCTACGCAGCCTGTTTTCCAAACCACGACGTGATTCCTGCTTGCTGTGAGCTACTAGGAATCGACATCTTGCTTGACAAAAGGATGAACCCCCAAGTTCTTGAAGTTAACCACTCTCCAAGCTTCCATACGGACACAGAACTGGATTGCGAAGTCAAAGAAGCCCTACTTTACGATATGTTCGCGATGATGAACCTAGAGATCTGCGACAAAAGAAAGCTCATTCGTGAGGACAGAAAGCGGGTAAGGGAAAGGTTGCTGAGTGGGTCTAACCCTAGGGAGAATCAGTCCAACAGTGACTCCAAGTACTTCACCGAGTACTTCAAACAAGAAATGGCCAATAGGGGAGGGTTCAGAATCGTGTACCCATGTGCCAACACAGAACACAATTACATGAAGTACTTCGAACAGGGACAAAACTCGCTGTACTGTGATACCGCCTCCAGCAGAGCTAGAGAAGCAGCCCAGAATGCTCTCAGAGACGAAATGCAGCTGAAAGCTAAGTTGGAGGCTTCCAAGAGGATTTCAGCAAGAGCCAAGCCTATACTGGCCGAACCAGCACCTAGTAGGGCAGTCTCTCGAGCTTCTTCTACACCGCTCAGCGTCAGAAGTGACTACAGCAACTCCTTCGAAGCTCAATCGATAGTGGAGTATGAAGAGAAGGAGCGGCTACAACGGTTGGCTCAGAGGGACTACCTGGTGAGGAGTCAAGGCATTTTGGAGCTCATTTACTTCTCAATGAAGAAGAACAACGTTCTGAGGCCACACGATGAGAGAAAATATGCGATATTTGACAAAATTCGACAAGCTAGCGAGACTATTAACAAGAACGTGAGTAATGGGCCGGAAATTTCCGATATGCTGGAGGAGATCCACGGAAAGGGGATGGAGGGGACGATGACTTCACTCAAGAGGGAGATATATCCATGGCATAAGCCGAAAAATCATGTTGGTAAAGTGTGATGGATTTTTCACCGTTATTATTGTTAATAAAATCTGTGTAGTTTGTGGGTTTACTTCTCTTTAGATTTTGTCACGATGTAAGTTCGTTTCAGAAAATAAAAGTGTCAGTTTGAAATGGTCAGTGCAATATGAATGAATTCAAAATGGAAAATAGTCTAGTGTTCTTCATATTTCTTGTCCCACCTCAGTTCGAATCATTTTGTGTAATGCGGGAGTTGTGACGATTTTTTTTATATTCATTCCAAATTTCAGTTCAGGCCAATGAAAGAACATTATTTTCATTTCTTTAGTTATTACCAAAAGATTTGGACAATATTACTTTTCGTTGTACGTTCGTCAAACATGTTTATGTAATATTATTCGAGGTTTCCTACTAGGTACACTATAGTGACTAGCGAGCTTTCCAGAATAATCATCTGCGTCTTCAAAGAGGGAATATTGTGTAAATGACAAAAAACTATATCAGTTAACCATCTGCGAAGAATAAAAATCCTTTCAGTTCAACAATGAAAGAAAACAATTGTTGCTTTCAATTTTGTTGTACCTAATACCAGTCTGAGCGTATTTTGTAAAGAATCGGTTTGATCGAATTCTCATTTTATAACTTACAATTTTTCAATTTTAACCGGCTTACCTACAATGTTGTTGGAGACGAATATACCCAGTTTCATTAGGTACCTATTAGGAATGATTTGTTTTAAATACTTTCAAATGCTTGAACTAAATGAGAAGCTACCTTGATTATTATACTTTTTCATAATTCGGTATGCATCTATTCCAATGAAAATCTTTCAAGCTCAATATTTCATTGGAACAAACTATTTTCTATGCCATTAGACAATATAATACGTAACCAAAGAATGTTATATTATTGAATTGTACGATATATATTATAATTTCTATAACAACATATAACCTTCGATAGCTCAGTTGGTAGAGCGGTGGACTGTAGTGGAATATAAAATGTAGACATCCATAGGTCGCTGGTTCAAATCCGGCTCGAAGGATACTTTTTTTATTTTAAATTTTTTTCAGTTTTCAAAATTCAATGTCGATAATAATTTTCGTGTTGGGTTCGATTTATGATAATGATGCGTTTGAAGAATTGATTTCCGACAAATGAGATATGAAAAAATCAACTATGAATTCTAGTTTTTCTTTAGTTTGATTGAATTTTAAACTTACCCAAGGTAAGCCGAAGGTGGTTTGAATTGTGAAAGATCCGTGAGGAAATACTCACTTTCGTTCACTATTAATATTATCCTGCCAATTTTTCTATATGGCATTTCTAATGACCATTGTCAAGTTCTTTGATTTATTTGGTTTGCATATGCTGAGAAGTAAAAGTTATAGTATGTGTTTAATATAACATTCATACCAAAGACAATATGACTGATATTTCTGTTAAACTGAATTTAACAGCGTCGAAAGCTAGAAATGTCATTGAACAGTTTTATTATTATTAATAATAATAATAATAATAATAATAATGATAATAATCGTCTTTATTGTTACCCAGCTGTAGTTACATACAAATATTTAAATAAATTAGAGAGCTAGTTGCTGACATAACAAAAGGCGAAGTTCAACTTAGTTAGCACAAGTGCTACTGTTAAATATAGGTTAAAGAAAATAACTTTTGTCTGATTTATACGTAGTTTTTTATTTGTTATACCCTTTTGAAGAAAAAAAATGTCTTTACTTGAAGATGGTGTAACAAACCGACACCAGTCGTAATGGTTGTTACACCATTTTCAAGTGAAAACAGTTTGTTTCACTTGCTTATTCGGCTAGGTCATTGTCAAAAATTGACAAGAACTCCGTCAGGGGCGTAGCGATCTTGCTCAACGCAATGCTGCTACCCTGAGTTTTTTTAATCATATTTTCATAAAAACACATCATTTTTCACTAGTCGACTCCTTTTCGGAAGACCTTTGGATTTTTAAGTTCACATACGTGGCCCCCTTTACTTGACTATCCAAACCACCCGGCCTGGATACCGGCGTAAACAATATACATTGACAATGACAATTTTGCAGCAATATGTTTCAAGAAAATCAGTTCTCTTAGGAAATTGCTTTCTGAAAGTGGAATATTCAATAGTCTGTGAATAATACTTTCGGTGCTACGTTATGTTGATGTGGATGAATAGATAAATTGTGTATAATGATGCCCATGTGAATAATTAGAATGATATTTGATCTTGAGTTTGTTGAGCCATGTAGAGGAATATCAAAAAAAAAAAAAGATTTCGACTACCACAAGTCTTTATTTGTTAAAAATATCTGTATGTGTACACAAAAATATAAAATCATATAATACACATTATAACATACATCCTTCTGTCAATCAAATCTAGTCATATGTATAAAAAAAACGGAATAGGGGTTCAGCTTCATTACTTGCTACCTAACCAACTGAGAATAATAATAATGAAAAAAACTAAGGACAGAATAGAAAAAAAATTCAACAAAACTGTTTTTTTGAGCAAGTTTAATTATTGTTTATTTATATATGAACTAACAATTTCAAATATATAAATATTTATCTTTTGATTTCATTCATGATTGTTCCTTATTGTATCACATGGATGATACAAGCAAGATCCGCTACATATCTTGGAATTTTATACCAAAAACAGTCCGACATCTCCGGGAGTTCAGAACAAACACTCATGTAGTTCTTCTTCAACGAATATTCCTCCTGATCCAATCCATATAGTAGGGAACGAATGTATTAACGGACGGAGCACTTCCACATTCCTCGGCAACAAATCCGTAAGAAACTATCCCTATTTGATAGGTGATAAATTCGAAGTTCTGTGCCCTCAGCAGCATCAGAGGACCTCCTGAATCTCCTGTGCAGGTATCAACACCATTGCCAAAACCTGCACATATTTGACCTTGTGTCAGGAATTTACCATATTGGTTGCAATCTTCTTTATCCACATTAGGGAGTGTGGCTTTCTTCAGAATTGGACTCGAAGATTCTATACAAAAAGTAATAGATGAGAAGATATTGAAAAGACGAATGAAAATGGAACTGAAGTTCAGATCATTATTTTTATTTTTATCACTTACTGTTCTGATGATGGAATGCTCCATCGACTCGAACCCTCAACAAATATTGTTGAATTATTTTGATTCCAGGCAGACAAATGATTATTAACGTCGTCCGTTGCTTCTAGTTTTTTAGTTTCTCCACAACAGGGAAACTATGTACTAGAAATATATTCGAACAAAAATTGTGAAAATTAAATTAGCAGAAAAGTTTCGAATTTGTTGAATCCAGGACGATAGATTCTTAAAGAAACCTTGCTACATGTAGGCTACTATATCATTGACGATAGTATGGGATTTGATTCAGAAGATGTATTGATCATTTCTCCAAAATATCAGGCAAAATATAGAAATATAAACCATCCTTCAGCCACTACACAAGTTGAGAATAGAAGTTTAGGCTCTGTAAAAGCTGTCGAGAGGTAAGAGAGTAATGACCGCTAGAACATCAGCGGGTCAAAGTTAAAGTTAGGTAAGATTATGTTAGGTCCAAAGTGAGTGGGTCCATTCGACTCTTCACCGCAACCCTCAAGGGTTTATTGTGACTCACACCTATTCACACTCGACAAATGAACTCAGCTCCTTAACGAAGCCGATTTGTTTGTCTGGTGAGTGGTTTTTCAGGTCAGATGTTAAGAGTACGGCTCTGCCGAACTCTAAGTCTGTGACTGCCCCAGCGGGGCAGTCACAGAGTTTGTGCTCTGCTGTTTCATCATTTTCTAAACAGAGGCAATACACACTCTCTCTGCACAAGATGATTCAAATGACAATGACCTGTAAGAAGTCCTGTTAGACATCGTAGTTCATCCCCACTATAGTTCAACAATTGTTTGGTTTGGTATCAAGCTTCGAAGGGTAAATAAACGCCTTGGAGTGAGCCAAACCTGAAAGATTCTGCCAGAAGTCCATGAATCTTCCTGCCATCCAGGTGTTCAATCTTTGTTTGGCAAAGCCTAAAGCGATGCCAACGATAGGTTCTGGTCTGATGAAACTGTTTGCAGGACCAAAGTTAAGGTATGGGTGTATTAAGGTACACCACGACCTTGCTTTGATCAATATCGGAGAAACACGATGGTTAGACAAGAAGGTTTTCGATACGGTGAATTGGGAAACAAGAGGGTGCTTCTGATTTGCTTACATAGTGGTAACCGTAGGAATAGTCAATGTTGGACTCATTGAATGAGTGAGGCGAAGTTAGCAGCCCCTCGTCTATGAGCCTCCTGGAGGCGTTTGCGACGTGAGCCGGCATAGGAAGCATCCTGCGGTGGAATCGCATAAAATGACTGTAAAAGTCAAAGTCAAAGTCAAAGTGTAAAAGTCAAAAGAAAAGTGTTCATATCTAGGGCTTCGTTCCACAAGGACTACTGGTAATACTTCATTGGTCCTTAACGCCACCACAATATACGTATTGTCAGTTAGTTTTGAGGAATAGATAAAAACAATTTGGTTAGCAAAATCTATATACATGTTCCGTGAAAGATAAAATTTGCAGGGTTTGACTAACCAGATTATGGGTTATTATATTTGGTAAGTAACAAAAAGTATATAATTTCACCTGGCATCTTTGATATATAATGTGACATTTGTAAAGATGACAGCAGTGGGTAAGCGCCTGAAATTCATGGGTATCTTGCTTGACGTTTGGTTAACTATTTCCTAAGAAACCACTTCTTCAGGAATATCACAGAAGCGGTTAGTTTTAGACTGCATAATCAGGATTTTGGTTACTTCAGAATCATCCCCTCAAGAAGCTGAAACTCAATTCAATTGAAACATTCCATTGTTCCAACAAAATAGTGAAGTCAACCTCAAACAACTTGCAGCAACTTTTGTTTGACTATGAAACGCACTCAAAATTTTCAATTCTTTAGGTGTTTTTTTTTCGTTGTCCAATTAAAATAAGTCAAAATCTGGCGCTACAGTTCCTTTCGGATATACAGCCTTCTCGAAGTTATAATTATCAAAAAATTGTCTATTTCAGAGTCTCATTATCCTAGCAACTCGTGGACTTTTCATTGAATAATCAATAACTGAAGGATTCATCTCTGAAAATACTGAGAATATGAGCGTCGATGTAACTACTCCAACATCGAATCAAGAGCAAGATATTCCTTCAGTCTGCCTTCCACCGAATCCTTGCAGCAGGAAAGAAAACGAACTTTCTCTGAAAAAGTCAGAAAACGCTCAAGCTCTAACAATGTTTCACCAAAACCCAAGGCAAAATGCCTTGCTGAGTAGAATCAATCATATCCCCATTTTTGGCTAACTTATACATTATATGAACAGGTTATTGAGGTGGGAATCTTGCACCTTGAAAATCCGACAAACTGAATATCGATTGATCATCTGGAATCACTTCAGTGAGCTATCATGGCTGCTGCGAAATATATTGAAGAAGAATGATCCAGTGCTGCACATTCAGGCCTAGATGGCTACGGATTACCAGAGAGTATCAGGAAAGCGTGACTGCTGGAAGTAGCTAGGAACCTGCAGCACATACCTTAATACGGCACAGGAGACTCACTTCCTAAGCCACGCATTTATGTTCCTCACCTACCTGATGAAGGTAGGTAACGTTTTATTTGGGAAAACATGAAAGTGGCAAGTGAAATGTGGTTCGCTACATACGATCGTGAGAAATGTGTTATCACAGAGAAAAATGTATTGCTGAAAGTGGATATTTTTCACCTTTTGAGTGTAGTATCTGTAGTATGTGTATTATGTGTAGTAATAAACATCTCACCTGTACTTGTTGTCCTTCCCCATCCAGCTACTGTTAAAGATTCATTGGTCTTCATTGTGATAGTGTCAAAAGGAAAGCAGATTGGTTTGACGTAATCTGAAAAAGTCAAAGATTTTTTTATGGCGTAACAAAAGCACTACAGGAAAATTCTTAAGGCGCTCTTAGAGCCGGTCCTGTGTGAAAGTAGTGATTCCCATTGGATTTGAATCGCTGGAGTCAAATGCAATTGGAAGTTTATTTCATATAAACGCCGTTCTTCAACTTAAAATACTTACTTTGGACAAAAAAATCTTCAGGAAATCAATGACTTTATTCTGAAATACCTATTTTATTTTGACTTTTTGTGATTTGATATCACTGAATATTGAGTTTTTGTTACAATACTGTATGATTTTGAGTAATTTTTGGTGACAACAAAAAATAAAAATAACTTTGCACCAAAAACTTTGAAAATTGATTTACTTTTCAAAACATTGACCGTGGTTAAAACAATAGTTGTGTAATTTGTAATATTACAGGCTTTCAAAATGAACTATCGTTCACAGGATGCTGTATATTTATCACTTTGGCAAAAATTTGTTTTTCGTAGTCCCCATTTAAAAAAAAACGGGTAAAAAAATAAAACTCCATTTAGATGGCCATGACTTCGAATCCGGATGTATTTTTCAATGCTCAACACCTTTTTTGAATAACATTTTCCAAAATTTTTCAAAATAAGAGTACTTTACTCTTGTTGGTGCATGTTTAGTTTCAGGGATAACTTCTTCTTCTTCTTCTTTTATCAGGAATAACTTCTTGTCGAAAAACCCTTAGTAAAAAAGTTTTCCATATGGTGCGTACTTTGTGGATGACACTGTATATTCATTCGAATATAGATGTGTCTGAATGATAATGATATTTGGAAGTTTCATCCATAAGATAACCTACTACTTTTCATCAGTAGATATTTTATATAAAACCGTCAATGACAATGCAAATTATGGATTAATGAGTACGTAATTTACAATTTTTCTGCGTGAGAGTTCAATAATGTGGAAAGTCAGGTGGAAAGTCATCTTCGTTTCAATCGGGATGGAGTCCAGGTCTCCTATCCTTTTGGCTGATTTTTGGTCTCGAGAAGGACCAATGGTTTCATGACTGATGGTATGGCGGCATGAAGTCCTTAGACATCAGTGCCGCCCTTCACGGGATACCCCTACCTGACTGGGGTGGGATGGATGAGAAAGTTGTTCATCCATTAACGGGGGACATGAGGGCCTCATTCGACAGAGTGTCGGGGCCTTCTATATCGGGAGGGGTCGCCTACAGCATAATCTGTGGCTTCCCTAACTAACGGATTTTTATGAGTTTCCGTACTTTCAAAAACTCTCTGATTCCTCGCCTGGATGGACTGCCGAATGGAAGGCAGCTGCAAATCTCTGCGGATGGCTCCGTTCCGCACGAACCAAGGAGCATTCACAATCATCCTAATTAACTTATTTTGTAACCTTTCAATAATGTGTATCACAACTGCCGGTTTCTATGTTTACAGTAATTCGAAGAAAAGTTTAGTCATGATTAGCCGAAGATATAACGGAAGATTCTTTAGAAAGTATGCGATTTGAAAATTGAGACCCAAAAATGAAAAGAATATTACTGAAATACTGAATATATTTAAAAATTCGATTTCACGTTTTGTAATATGTGAATAATATTTAAATTTTTCAATACCTGTGAATTCAACTTCTCTATCCAACACTATCAGTGCTATGTCATCTGTGCCATTAACTCCATCAAATTCCTTGTGTTCTACTACAGATCCAATTCCATAAACTTTTGATGGGTCAGCACATTTTTTCCCAAATGGTAGGTAAATACAGTCTGTTTCATTTCTGGTATCATATTCCCCCAAAATTACCTTGTATCTGAAATTGTGAAATTTTGTTATCTTTGAAGGAGTAATAAAGTACTCGCATTATCAAAAACGTTTCTAAAGTTCCCTTTCAGTTTCTCAATATACCTGCGTTTCCTAGAAAAATCCCGAATATCACCACAACTTCAGTCGTTCTGTTTTCCCAATCAGAAAACTTCGATAGAAAATACTTGAAGGATATTCATGTGTTTTTGAAAGTAAAAAGCCTTTTACAATGTTCAGTTTCAGTTAATTTTCAGCAACTACAAATAAACCTTGAAAAATCAACTCCGCTCCATTGGAAAAACATTTTGCATCGAAAAATGGAAAACTGACAGAACAATGCAAAGTGGTTGCCACAAACCAGTTTATCAGATCATTCAGAATGATAGTGGAATATCTATAAGAGAAGATTGTGAAAAAAATATAAAGAAAACGATATATCTATGAGATGTTGATGAAGTATACAAGTCAGAGTTAGAAAAATCAAATGAAAGTAGAATTTATAACTGAGGAAAGCACACCACAAAGAAAAAAAGACAAAAACATGCTACAATCTGATTAAATCTTCAATTCTTCGTGAAAATGGCCGATGATATTTAATCTGATGAACTCGATATGTGCAAAATGATGAATCTTCTAAAGTACCGTTACACCAACGTACCAATATAATAAAACAATGCATACTCACAGTTCCAGTCTTTTTGCTCTCAAAATATTCCTATTCACACAATGAGCCGCAGTTAAAATATGTCTATTGCTGATCAGAGTGCCACCACAACCAAACTTTTTACCCTGATTACTAGTATATTGCAAGAGTGCCATCCAAGGATACTCCCCCAAATCACTAGTAGTACCACCCATGATTTTGTCGCTATTTGCAGTTTGTCTGCCACAGATCGATGAAAATTTTTCGAAAACACTAGTTCTAGAAAGATCTCTGTCTTCTGATTTGTTTTCTCGCTGACCCGAAGTTTTCCAACTTCTGAAGTTCGTTTGAGTAGGTGAAGGGATAATTGTAGGTGTGGTGGTAAAATCTCTCTTCTTTGGTTGTGACATGTGTATCCCTGAAGGCGATTGAAATTCGTCAACATCGGAGTACATTTCTGCAGTGCTAGGTCTTTTAGTCTGGAAATCATTTCCAGAATATTTTGTGGTCGAATAGTCTGCATAGTCGTCACCTCGTATATGGTTTCTCAAAACCTCATCAGCTGCAGCATCTCCAATGGTTGCTCGCTTTTCATCTCTATCATAATATTCATCTTCCTCTAGCCTATTTTTGATCATATGGTTGTGGTAGTATGAATGAAGATGCCTATGGAAGAGTGGTTGGTGATTTCTTGAGAAGGATGTATGTCCACCGTTGGTAAAATGTTTTGCATGAGTTGAAGAAGGCGATTGATCTTCTGGGAAATTTTCCTCTTCTCTTCTGTCACTAATAAAGTTCGGAGTATCCAAAGATGGAGGTCTTGCGGAAAATCCAGTTGGGTTATCAAATATATAAGGTTCCTCTTGTTCTATATAGTCATCAGAATCATTGTTTTCCATGAATCTGTTTTCCATTTCATGGCTCTCTTGTGGACAACAAACATGAACACGATTCCTCAAGTATCTGTGGCATCTGTAGTCTTTTATGAAATTTGTCGTTGTCGCTGTGTTCAACAAATACTGGCAGTCGACTATGTTAGTACAGGTTCCTGCAAAAATACAAATCGTAGTGAATACTGTCATGTGTTTTAAAAAAGAAGTTATACCATTTCGACCATCAGGAGTAGTGCAGAAATTTAGTCTGGGGCACCAAACCAGTGGAGATTTAGTTTCAGAGTATCCGCAGTGGGAATTCTTGAGAAAGCGGACGGTTTCTGGAGCGAATTTTTTTGTTGAAACTAGTTTCATGGCTAATGGACAATCTTCTACGGCTATGCATTCTATATCTATCCCTTCAGCTCTCCATGAAGAACCTTGAAAGCAATAAATTCAGAATATACAGTTCGAAATAAATTTTTCTGAGATTGAGGATTATGGAACTATAGAAATGAGTTTCTAATGGATGAAATATGGCCTGTTCAACAACTTTTAGAAGTATTCCATTAATTTTTTTTTTAATATTTGGTGAAAGATAATTATTTTTCAACTCAATATTATCAGAAGTCACTACTCATTTCAGATAGTATTTGATGTCGTTTGTATCTGCTGGAAGGTTCGAAGTACAGCTTGTCAAATGTAGAAAGAGACTTGAGAATTGTTTCTTTCTCTTTGTCAATCTTATCGTCTTCTAACGAACGCGCAGTTAGTAGACAGGACCATATGGAAATTTAGAAAGCTTTTCCGTCATTGACAAGCTGTATATGCTTTCAGCTTGTAGATCTTTCTCAAACAAATTTCTGTTGGAAAGAATAGTTTTTCGATGTTTATTTCCATCATAATGTCGTATATGTATCGTAAACTACAAAATTCAATGACATTTGTATTTGAAACGTGTTTAAAATCGGATTTTTTGAAATCAAAATAGAAATGAAGAATGTAAAACTCCCGAGATGCTGTCAAAGAATCTTCCCCCATGTTATTTTTCGGTTATTTTTTCTTCTAAGAAATTGTTGAGTCGAACGATTCAAAATTACCCAATAGAAGATTGGAGTGAAAAACATGTTTTTTATTTTTTGGGAAAGAAAGTTTTTGGCTTTCTACTACTCCATCTGATACAAAAAAATGGATGAGAGAATCTTCCAAAGAAAGGAAGGATCAATCATTCGAAATAAATTTTTCTGAGATTGAGGATTATGGAACTCTAAAAATGAGTTCCTAATGGATGAAATATGGCCTGTTCAACAACTTTTAAGAGTAGAGAAAACTACACTAACTAGGCAAAGTTAATGAAACAAGTTCCATTAATTTTTTCAAATATTTGGTGAGGAATTGGAAAGATAATTATTTCCCAACTCAATATTATCAGAAGTCACTACTCGTGTTAGGAATCACACGTTAAAAGGTAAGACCTCGTTAATCCTCAGCTCACACAAGTTTCTCAACTTCTGAGAGTTGTCGTTCGTATGGGGGCGACAGCTGATTAACGGAAAACAGATTTTAAACAGATTTTTTTAAACAGAGATTTCAGATAGTATTTGATGTCGTTTGTATCTGCTGGAAGTTACGAAGTGCAGCTTGTCGAATGTAGGAAGAGACTTGAGAATTGTTTCTTTCTCTTTGTCACTCTTATCGTCTTCTAACGAACGCGCAATTAGTAGACAAGACCATATCAAAATTTAGAAAGCTTTTCCTACATTTGATAAGCTGTGTATGCTTTCAGCTGGTAGATCTTTCTCAAACATATTTCTGTTGGAAAGATTAGTTCATCATAGTGTCGTATTTGTATTGTGAACTACAAAATTCAATGACATTTGTATTTGAAACGTGTTTAAATTATCGGATTTTTTGAAATCAATATAGAAATGGAGAATGTGAAACTCCCGAGGATGTTGCTCTTAGATACCTGTCAAAGCATTTCCCCCATGTTATTTTTCGGTTATTTTTTCTTCTAAGAAATTGTTGAGTCGAACGATTCAAAATTACCCAGTAGAAGATTGGAGTGAAAAACACGTTTTTTATTTATGAACGAATTGTTTTTTGACCGGTACTCATCTAATGTAGTTGTTGATGAAACACGAGAAAACAACCACAATGATTGCATCAGTTTGAAATGGGAAATTTCTTTCTCTGATTCGATTTGCTACTTTTGTAAATACCAAATCAAAGGATTACCAAACGCCGTCAATCAAATCAATAATTGTTTTCAAAATCAAGAAAAATGCACTGTCGATCATAATATACTCCTTTAACGTCTAGCTGACATTGGTGAGAGGAGTGTTGCTTTGGAAATATGTGACGAACAGAATACATATTGTTGAGGTAAACGAATCACTACTAGTTAGTCGGGGCGTACCCCAAGGAAGTACATTGGGACCCATCTTATTTCTCCTGTATATAAACATCTTAAAAAAATTATTCCAATTGTGAAATAACTTCATTAGATGATGAAACAGCTATCACTTTTGTTGAAAAAACCTAGAGAGAAGTATACACTCAGTCTGAAATAGGCATCAAAATGATTTTCAATTGATTGACTTCTAATTTATTATGTGTCTATGTCAAAAAAACAAACCTATTGCATTTACTCCAACAACTAGAGACCAACCGGCTGAAAACATAAGAATCCACAAAAAAAAATCTAACAATCTGTTTTTTTTAATATACTAATAACAACAATAATGTAGAGTGTTCGAAATAGAATCTGTTCGGTACTGCAGAAAATAGCAATATTGGTACATTTTTGAAAATATATAAACTCTCTGATTTGAACATAATCATTCGTCTTGTGATTTCCTCTAGATTATTTATGGAAGTTTCCACAGTATCATTTACTGCTACTGAAATGAATTAATTTACAAACCACACATCTCAGTTCACCTATGAATAACAATAGATGAAGAAAATCTCTCTTGATATAGAAAACCACGACTATACGAGTCGAATAAATAGAACTCATGAATCTTTTTGAAAAGTGTTTTCAGTCTGTTCTAGACATTTTTGTAAATAACCAATGACCTTCGGAATATTCTTGTAAAAAATTCAATATCATAATATGAAAATTCACATCACGTGTCTGGTGCCGAAGTCAAATTCAGAATGAAGCTAATAATAACAGAATTCTAATACGATGGTAACTTTATTGATTGCAAATTATGATTTTTCGCTGTTCATTAAGAACATGACAGACATTCCATGTGAAACTCTTAGAGAAACAATTTAACATAAAAGTGTTCGTATCATAAATAAAACGATGTATGTTAATACTTCCAGCAATGTGGAAGTTTGTGTATTTGTGATTATTCATTACTTCGAATCTTCAACAGAATTCACCCACGGTTTTGAGATTTATCGAAACACTATACCTACTCACAAGAAAACAAAAAACACACAGTAAACCAGAAGATACACTGTTCGAAATTCATCCTCTTTTAAAGGAAGAAACACGATAGCAATTAATATTTTCACAAACTGAGACGGATTCCCTAAACTAGTCATATTTAAGTCAACGTTGTATGACGTCACCATATAGAAAGCATAAGCAAACGTGGACTTAGTAATAGGGTAATTATTTTTTTCGAGTAGGTTTACAAATCGACATGGTATGTCATTGAACACCAGTGGAAATATTCGATTCACCCGTTTGGTAACTTCAATGATTCAGTACATTCTAAACCGCAATCGATTCCTGTTTGTGTGTAATAATATCACAATAATGATGATGAAAATAGGCCACTTGAAATATGATTTAGAAATGTGACCTTCATCTCTGTAGCAAAGACTAACCGCATCTGAGATTTCTGGGAATTTAATCGGTCCTTCCTTTTTTCAAGTTCTCTTATAAGGTAAGAGGATGTTCATCATGGGGATTTTGAAATTGATCAAAGGTTTGACGGCCGGAGTAACCTTCAGAGAAAATGAAATCCGGGATAGCAGACCGTTGTCGAATGGAACCCCAAGTACCAAAAGATTCATCTGCTACTATGAGAGATCATTTCAATTATTACTGAAATTTTTTTCTTTTATACACCCCAAAATTTGAAAAATTTGCCTCAGCCCTCCATAAAATATTTCTATAGAAGTTTGGATCTTTTCTGCATTTATTCATAATCAAAAAGCTTGGCTTTTTGATCTCTCCAACCGATACGCAACATGCTTTTCACGCCATTGAAATTATGAGCTGGTGCTTTATCCTGCTGAAAATAGATTATCTGACTAGCCTTCAGATCAAGATCATCAAAAAACTCTTCCAACACTCTTATTAATAAATTAATGTGACGGAATCCGGTCAAAGAACCATGGTAGAAAAAAGGAACGATAATTATGTCTCTAAATTGACCACACCAAACATTGATACTTAATCGTCTTCGCAGATTGTGGGGATGGACTAGAAATGGATTATGTCTACTTCAATTAGTATTGAAAATTGTTTCTTTTATACACCCCACAATTTGAAAAATTTGCCTCAGCGCTCCATAAAATATTTCTATAGAAGTTTGGATCTTTTCTGCATTTATTCATAAACCATCGACAAAACCCCAATCGTTTCTCAGGGTCACCAGGCTCTAGTATTTGCACTGGTCTTGGTTTATAAAGAGAAATCTTATGTTTCTTCAGAATTCGTTGAATAACAACGAGTGGAACAGCTATTTTTCCAGATAAATCTCTGAAACGCCAATTTCTGTATCTTCAGACATCACAGAACGTTCTTTAGTTCTTCTCTTCTCAAACCTTTTTCATTGTTTCTGAATCGACCATGAAGCACAGCAAAAAAACGCCGATTAGGTAACTCACGATCGGGGAACGAATTGCTGTAGTGTTGGAGTGCTCTTACGCCAGTTTGCTGGCAAACCAAGTAGGATTCTAACATATCACATTTTTCCCGATGGGAAAACGGCATTTCGAAAAATATTCGCAGTAGCTGACGGTTGCAACAACTTGTGACATTTTCATGATATACTTGAGAACTTGCATCTGTAGTAACACTTCCGAAATACAAATCATTAAATTATAAAACAAAAATTATTTGGCGCTCCAGGCGACTTCATTGATTCTAGTGGCGTATTTGCTTTTTTCAGCTGCAGGAAAACCCGGAAAAACCTGCAGCACCATATCATCTGAAGATGTTGATCTGCTAATGTCCTCTATTTCATAAAACAAAATGTAGGGTGTCTCCAGAGGCTCCAATAAATTCAAAATATCGCCAGAACACTTCGTGACACGATTATCGTCGAACTTAAACCAGTCCGTTTCTTCTTTGACCAAGGCGTACTAATGACCAAATACAAATTTAGAACAACAGTGAACAATGACTACATGAAGATTATAATAGTGGTCTGGTAGACTGAAGTGTTCATTCATTTAGAACCTTCGTAAAAGTTTGGTGCTTCCGTCAGAGGTTGAGTCATTTTTGAAGGTCATCAGTGTTATTATTAGATTAACTGGTGCCTCAGCTATACTTGTTTTCTTATAAAAGTCAGTTAGTTTGGCGCCTTGAAAGTTCCATTTTCAGATAACTCAACAACAAGCTTTGCACGAACTGGTTATTAGTCATATTAGGAAACGCTAGTTGAAACTTCAGAAATTTACATACGTTATTGCTACTTCTTGAACATTTACCACAAAGTAAACAGGTCAGAATTTTTCCAGTAAGAGATTTACAAACACAAGACGAGATAGAATGAACGGAATCATTCAATCCAGAGTCAATCCAAGGATATTGATTCTGCTATTGTTATACTCACGAAGAGTATTCAACAAAAACCCCTAGAATTTGGAACAATCCTCTTGTTTTCCTAATTAGTATCTAGTGGACTTCAGAGACTCCAGGAAATCGCTTGGAGGGAAAGATGATACATTCTTACAAACCTGCGGCCGCATGAACAGGTGTTTGTGTTTGTTGAATAGGTACAAAACATTCTCGTTGTCTTTCATCATTAAAACCTCGTTCTTGAAATTCTTCGTCATGAACAAATGATGTTTCAACAAAGTTCCAAAGCAACTTGATTACTCGTAGTTATTTTGTTTTATCGAATCAAACACATTATTTTCCAATCGCATTAATATGACGCTCCAGTATTTTCTGTTCTGTGCAAAAATGGCTTCAAGGTTGTCATTATAGCAGACATATTTTGATTCACAAAATAAATACAGCTAGTGGAATGGCTTTGAGGTGGAAATTATCGTTTTGTAAATTGATACCAAATAGCTCGGTGGTGTCAAGTGAGTGGTACGGCAAGATGGTCACGTGTTTCACGAGTTCAAATCCCAGCGCAATTTTTTTGTTGTTAGTAACAAAAGATTGTCACTTGCATTAGTACCATTATTGGGTGTTTGGTCAATCATGAAGTTTTAATTGTTCTAAAGAAATGAACTTTGAACTTTCAAACTAGTCTCGAATATACCTACACAGTAGGTTGAATGGACTGACGCCTACCAGAAAACAACCACTTCCCTGGCTGATACCACGATGATCATTGGATTATATCCCACAGGCGTCAATGCAGAAATCTTCACAGAAAATTTCCTGCATATGCAATTGGAAATACAACTGAAAAAGTTGACCTTCAATTTTGAAGCAGGCACACTTGCAGACCGGTTTCGGGTTCATTAGCCACTCGTCAGTGCAAGATAGTGGCCATCATCGACCTAAAGTCAGTGATATTCTATAATTGAAAATCCTCGCACGTTATCTTTTGTTGTTCAGATGTTTGAGCCCTGGGCCCCTGATCCTTTCATCTAATTGGACATTTTATCTGTTTGGGTTTCTGTTTGGGTTTTTCGGCAACAGAGACGAGTCTCTGTCGACTTCTTGTGGCTAGTAGCTCTGTTGGTAGAAGTCGCGGCACTCTTCTACGTTTCTTTTTTGCCGTTTAGGCTGTGGTTCCTTATTTATTACCGGCAAACATAGACTGCAGTACCAGGAACTTCGTCAGAATCTCCTGCAGCTGCCCTAGGGCCATTGGGAGACCCTCGGGAGAGCTGTAGGAGTTATCTGTAGTGGCTGCGGCTCTCGCGTACGAGACTCCGCTCCTAACCAAATTTTGTCTGGCAGTCCTCGGGTTTGGGGGCTGTCGTTCGTCATTTGGCCCGTTTGAGGCCTTTTTTTTATTCTCAGGGCATTCTGGGCACCCGTGGAAACTAGCTGGATGCTCGCCCTTGCAATTAAAGCAACGCACAGGCGAGTTTTTTGCTCTTTTACATTCGCTAGTTGAATGTCGTCCGGCGCACTTTACGCATGCTGGGACTGCTTTGCAGTTCCGTTGCGTGTGTCCGAACTTTTGACATCTGTAGCATTGTCCTGTTCTATTTCTAGGTCGCTGTGGTTCTGCGCTAACTCGCACGTTCTGAATTTCTTTTACCTCGTAAATGCTAGCCTGGGTTCTAGGAACTAAGACTAACACGAACGGTATCGGCTTCTTGTTTGATTTGCTCATGCGAGCTATGCGAGCTGTAGTTCTGTCTTGATATCTTCTATTTCCAGGGCTTCTGGGACTCCCCGGAAAACAACTCTTAGCGACTTCTCAGTTTGTACCGAGTAGGTGTGGTACCTACGGGATTTTTTCTTTGTCTAATATTTTAGTGATTTTTGTATATTCGTCTATGGACTTTAGATGGACTTTGATTCCATCGATGGTGTTCACCGCCCGCGAAATAGTGATATTTTGCGCGGCGGCAATCGTATTGAAGTGTTCCCACTTTTCCTTCGCCCGGATGGTTATCGGCGGAGGTCTTTCGGATTTTTGATTTTCTTCTCTGTGGGGAGATGCTGTAGCGTTCTCGACCTTAGGGTCATCACCTAATTCCATTTGTTCGAATTCTTGGTCGTCTGTTGTCTGATTGTTAATCCCTTGGTCTACCTGTTTGGGGGCTTCCGGCGACTCATCCGGTCGTTGTGACGTGCCGGGTGTGACGTCAGAGGTATTTTGTTCTTTTGTTCGGTCGGTCCCGGAACTTTTGGACTTCTTTTTCCTCGGCTGTTGAGATGGGATTTTCTCAGTTGCCGTGCTTTTTGTTGTCCCGGAGGGCTCTGGCGTGGCCGCTCGCTTTTGTGGGATCTTATCAATTTGGATCACTTCTTCATCCGAGGAGATGTCGTCAAAATCTGGGTCGTAGGTTTTGTTTCCGTAGCTAGGCAAAGCCTCGAAAAGTTTGTAGTACTTTGGATTGCGTTTTTGGGTATTGATTTCCATGACTTTTTCAAAGTACTTATATGATTTAGCCAATTCCATAGTGCTAATATCATAACGGTCTATTAATGCAAGTATTGCATCTCTTGAAAATTTCTTTCCGAAACTATGGATTTTATCCAGTAGTTCCTCCATCTTTATCGCGTATCAACCTAATAACTCTTAGGGGATAGCGGTTTATGAACTATAAAACTGTCACTAATTAAACTTTTTGATGTTCACTCATCAAAGTCTCAAATCACTCTGTCAATGTTGTCGATGAACGATGTCA